CGTTCTATTGAGAGAAAAAATTGTCGGTTAAAATCCACCCATTCAATCAGTCACTTAAGCTAAACAAACAAGATGTGTCCTCAGCCTCTCACACCAGAATTGCTGAGTGGTGACAGAATCCTATAGATGTGATCTCTATCGGAGAGGGCTGTTTCACAGCGCTGGCGTCATCGGCCTGACACTCCTCAGCCAGAAGCCAGATGTGGGCACAGATGGCCTGAGCAAACAGTACTTCCATGTGGTATAATATCAGTGATTCCTACTCCCTTTCACCCCTTACTGAGGCCTCTTAAAAAAGGCAAGAGAAAGAGAAATACACTCTCTTAAACAAGCCATCAGTTTCCCTGGTCATTGGTTGATTTGTCATTGGAATTTTAGAGCTCAGCTATGATCACCTGAATGGACGTCATGTCTGTGCAATAATCTGGCACGCATGCTCCCTTCAAGAAAACCTGACAGCTGTTCAATCATGTGGAAGTAAATCAAGGTAGATGTTTGTTCTTGACGGGGACCTCTCCTGCCCCTTAGGGCTGGGGGCTGCAAACACTAGCCACAGAATGAGCATGAGCTTAACTCAGTGTCTGGCAAAGTCCATAAAACATGGCCACATCCTCATCTCCTGGGCCTCGGGGAAGCTCTTGACCAGGGGTTAACTGGGTAAGTGACTTGCTAAGATCCATGCGGCCAGTGAGTGTCAGGTAGGACTGGACTCAGCGATCCTAGCTCCAAACCAGCAGTCTCCAAATAGCCTTTGGGAGATGGTATTACTTAGTGACAGGAGAGCTGTCATGCCTCTGTGTGTTTGTGTGTAACCAGGGTTGTCTGATCAGAGGAACTCAAGAAAACCAGGTCTTAATACCCTAGTTTCGAATTACTATTAATCTACTGTGAAAGGTTTTGGTGTATTTGGGCTCCCCTCTCATCTAGGAACTAGCTTATCCTCTACTTCTACATAGAAGAGCTCCTGACCCTGTGAGCTTTTGGAACTCTGTCCTGGTATCTTTGTAGCCTACTTCCCTGGGTGTGCTCAGATAGCCTTAAGGTAGTATTTCTTTTCCTTTTTGCCAGTCCTGGGGCTTGAACTCAGGGCCTGGGCACTGTCCCTGAGCTTCTTTTGCTCAAGGCTAGCACGCTACCCCTTGAGCCACACCACTGCTTCCGACCTTTTCTGTTTATGTGGTACTGAGGAATCAAACCTACTAAGCCACATTCCCAGCCCCAAGGTATTTTTAAAATCCTATTATTTTTAATCCTCAAATTATTCTAGTTTAGGATGGATTTTTTTATCCCCAGAAAGACTGGAGATTGTGTGGGTGTAGAAAAGAGAAATGGGAGAGTAATGGTGTGCAGGGAATTGTGGGTGGGGCTGTTTGTTCTGGTGGGTCACAGGTGTGTGGAGACCACTGGGCTCTGGGGGGGAACAGGGCCGACAGGTGTGGCCAATTGTCCTGCTCTCCAGCTTCACTCCTGACCACCTGGGCTTGCCCGCTTGCTCTTCTTTACCTTATTCAGGATGAGCTTTGACCTTCAGGCATGAAGATTAGGAAAGGTCTGCTGAGGGGAATTGCCGTGGTTAATAAATGCCTTTTCCCCAGGTGCCCAGAAATCCGGGGCAAAGGCTTGAGGGCAAAAGATACCAAGCAAAGGAGAGAAGGTTCTACCACTCATCCACCTCATCTGAAACGCGACTGACAGGTGTCCCCTCTGCAGGGCTATGTGAAGGCCAGGATGAGCCAATGAATGGTAATCTACTCTGTAAGACCGTCAAACAAACACAGACAATCAGTGTGAAAAAATAAGGTGACAAACGATTTCCACCTCCTGCGTGTGCAAAGAGTAACAGGAAAACATCGGCACCCAAGTATTAGAGGCACTGCCTTGGCCTCTAAGGGGACCCATTTCTCCGTGTGGCCAGCAATGGGGGGGGGGGGGGGCTGCAGCACCCCATCACCCCCCACCCGCCCCGCCACTGGAATACAAGGAAAGCCCCCAGAGGGGAGAATATAAACGGCCTAACGAGTTGCAACGTGTCAGAATCTCGTCCACTGTGAGTTTTAGATGGCCCAGTAGCCCCAGGTTCTTCTCCTTTCACTGGTGAAGACAATGAAGCCCAGATCAGATCAATGAATTCTCACAAGGAAAGTCGCTTCGCATTTGAATTCGCGGGCTTCTGACCGCAGGCCCTGCTTTCCTGGGGACCAGGAAGCTGAGGGGGAGACTGGGGCCGAAGAAGAGGGATGGGGAGAGCTTGGAGGGAGGGGTGCGGGAAGGAAGGGAAGGCTGGAAGAAGGGAGAGGGAGAAGAGAAGGGGAAAGGAGGGGAGGGGCTGCGAAAGGGGAACGGAGCGCACGGTTATTCCAGAGACCGCGGCGTGGGGACGGGTGGCGGGGTCCGCCCCCAGGTCCGCCGCGTGTCACACCCGCGGGGTCCCCTGTGCCCCGCACTCCACGAGGGGACCCTCCTCTGCGACCCCGCGGGAGCCAGCGGGGAGACCCCCCCCCCCGGCTCCATCCCACCCCATCGCGGGACCCGGTGCCCCGCCTCTCTTGGCCTGGCTTCGGGGCGAGCGAGGGTCGGCGCTGGCTCCCCTGGCGGCCGGCCGGGGCCGCCGCCGGCCTCGACGCCCCAGCTCAGCCCTCCGAGCCCGCGCTCGGGGTCTGGGCAGAACCGGGCAAGGACTGACTGGCGTTTGCGGTGGTGAGGGAGGCGACCCCGCGCCCCTCGGCGCCGCCCGCCACGCGCACGCTCGCGTCCACGCAGGTGGACGAGGGCGCGGGTGGAGGGTGGAGGCCTCGCGGGGCCGGCGCGGGCCAGCCCGGGGCCCCGGCCCGGACGAAACGCAGGAGGCCACGCTCGGAAACCACGCCCGCAGCGCGTGCCCGCGGCTCGCCCCGCAGCCTCCGCTGTTTGCACCGACTTGACGTGGACGGCCGCGGCCCCGGGCGAGCGGGCGCGCTCCGCTCAGCCGCCGCGGGGGCCGCCGGGGCGGGGCGCCTGCGCCCGAGAACGGGGCCCGCCGTCGCAAGGCCTCGCTCGGACCCACAAACGCAGCCTCTTGGCGGTGAGGTCAGAGAGCGCAGGCCCCGCGTGTAACCGATTCAAAGCTGCTTCGCGGGCCGAGGCAGCCCTGCCCCCGCAGAAGCCAAGCCCGGGACTCGGCCGAGGAGCGGCCCCTGGGAATGGCTCGGGGTTCCTGGGACGAGGCGGTCGGCCTCGACGGCGGCGCCCTCCCCGCCCACCGCCTCTCCCCCGGTGCCCCTCCGGGCTCCGGGCGCCGCCGCCACGCCTCGACGGCGCTCCGGGCCCGGGCGTTGGCGGGCGCGGTCTCGGTCCGGGTCTCCGTCCCAGACGCGGGAGAGGGGAAACGCGGCGATCGACTTTACACGGTAGCACGTGCTCGGGCCGGGCGCGGGGAACGCGCGGTTCCGCGGCCCAGCCGCCGGCGCCCGGCGGACTCGCCCACTGGCGCGCGGGCAGTGAGGCAGCAGCGAGGTAGCTAGGTAGGTAGTACTCACCAGTTTAGGCAGAGTTGCGTGAACACCAGCGGCCACGCGTGCGCGCCGTCAGTGTGTTTATCTCAAGGAACCGTCCCGCGCCCCCGGGGGCCCCCGCGCGGTCTTCCGTATCCCCCCCCCGTCCCCGGCCCCCCGCGTCCCCGCAGTCAGTCTTCCATCTCCCCCAGTCCCGCGCCCCCCGGGGCCCCCGCGTCCCCGCACGGTCTCTCCCAGTCTCGCGCCCCCGGGGCCTCCGCGCCCCCGCACAGTCTTCCGTTCCCCCCCCCCCCCCGCGTCCCGCTCCCCCGGGCCCCCCCGCGCTCCTGTGCGGTCAGTCTTCCGTCTCCCCCAGTCCCGGGTACCCCGCGCTCCCGCAGGGTCTCCCCCAATTCTCGATTAGGAAAGGGGGCCAGGCAGGTGTCTGACCTGCTCTGCGCGGGCCGCTTCCCCCCCCCCCCCCCCCCCCCCCCCCGGCATCACCACGCTGGGTCACCCGCCGAGCCCGCGCAAGGTGGCGCTCCGAAAGGACTCGAAGCGAGTCCCGGATCTAGATAATGAGGATCGGGATCTAGATACTGTGGGCCGGGCGAGCCCCGGATCTAAATTACATGATGTGATCTAGATTGTGTGGACGTGATCTAGATAATGAGGATCGAGTCCCGGTTCTGGTCCAGCCCGCGGCTGATTACGCCGTGGGTGTGTTGAAGCCCTGTTTGCGCTCATTCATTCATTCATTCACTCGTGCGTTCATTAGCTCTTGAGCGCCTACTGCGCGCGGCTCTCCACCGCACCCTGCGTCGGTGCCAGAGCGGTGGTGGGCCCGGGAGAGGCGGCCGTAAACTCCCAGCCCGAGGCCCCTGTGTCTGGGTGGCGTGGAGGCCAGGAGGGCGGTGGGACGCCTGTCAAGGTCAGGGGGAAGGGAAGGGAACGAATGCCTGGAGAGACCGCGCTCCCGACGCGGACCGGACCGGGCTGGGACAAGGGGGGCACCTGGTGGCACCAGGGAAAGACCCGCGTCCCTGAGCTCAGGGCGCCGGCGGGGCCCGGAGGCCCGCGGGGCGGTGCCGGGGCCCAGGCAGGTGCAGACCCCAGGCCCGCCTCGGGGCTCCCTATTGCTGGGCGAGGTGGGGGCTGCCGGAGCCGTTCCCCGCTGCGGTGCTGGGGTTCGGATCGCTTTGCCGGGGAGGTGGCCGAGCCGGGCCCGCGAGGGTTCGTACGTCCTCCCCTCACGGAACGGGTAGAGAGGCGGCTCGGCCGCACCTGCAGCTCCGAGGCGCGGGCCGGTGCGAACTCCGGAGGCGGAGGGGCGGGCCGGGGGCGGGCGCGGGGCGAGGCCCGGCCCCCTCGCCGCCGGTCGGCGCGGGGCCGCTGCCGGGGGACTGGGCGGGGGCCATCGCGGAGACGGGGAGGGGCGGCGTGTCCCCGTGAGCCATTGGAGGGCGCGGGCGCCCGTAGCTGATAAATCGGGGCAGGGCCTAGGCGCGGGCCAAGTGGACGCCCCGACCGGAGCGAGGGCTCGGTGCGCGCCAGCCCCACCAGGCGAAGCCAGGCGACCCCCGTGCCATGGCCTCGATCATGGGAGCCTATCCTTGGCCCGAGGGACTCGAGTGTCCTCCTCTGGAAGCCGAGCTGTCGCCGCCGTCCGCCCCGAGGCCCTCAGGGGACAAGGGGCCCGAGAGCCGAATCCGGCGGCCCATGAACGCCTTCATGGTGTGGGCCAAGGACGAGAGGAAGCGGCTGGCGGTGCAGAACCCGGACCTGCACAACGCTGAGCTCAGCAAGATGCTGGGTGAGTGAGCGCGCCCGAGGGCGGGCGGCGGGGCAGAGCCGGCGAGCGAGCGCGCGGGGCGGGGGCCGGGCGGGGGCGCGGGGCGCGGACTCGAGCGGGGCGGCCGGCCCGAGGGGCTCGGAGGGAAAGCGCGGCCCCTTCCCGACCCCGGCTCGGGGCGGAGGCCCTTGGGGCCGCCGGGGCCGGATGGGGACGTGGAGCTCGCGCCGCCCTGGCGGGGAAGCGGGAAGAGCCGCGGGCGCCCGCAGCGTGCGACACGGAGACCAGAGGAAGACAGTGGCCCCTGAACGGTTTCGGACATAAGCCCCGCGCCGCCGCGGATCCCGCTCCCGCTCGATGACGCTTGTCCGAGAACCGGGACATATTGCTGGATCGCGGGCCGCAGGCCCGGGCCGGAGCCGAGCCTGTGCCCGCCGGCACGGGGACGGAGACAGGGCCGAGGACAGGGACCGGCCGGCACGGGGACGGGGCCAGGGTCGGGGTCGGGGTCGGGGCCGGGAACAGGCCAGCACGGGGACGGGAACGGGGCCAGGGCGGGGAACAGGCCGGCACGGGGTTAGGACACGTCTGGAAAACCTGAGGTTTTGCCGGGATTTCTCTTCCCGTTCCTGTCCCGCCTTCGCCCACAGCGTTGCCCTTCCGTGGGCTTCGTGTCAGTATTGTTCGTTTTCGCCCACGGGGCTCCGCAGGCGCCTTCCCCTGCCTTCGTGCAGGCCTGGAGAGAAGGCCCGGACCCCAGGCCGGCCGGGGGAGGCTGCGGGCCGAGCCCCCCGGCCCGCAGGCCGAGCCCCCACCCCCCACCCCGGCCCACAGCCCAGCCTTGGGGCTTGCGCTTCCCAGGATGTATCTGTGGCCTGTGCGGTCCTGGGCCCCGCTGTACAAAAGGGTAAAATGTGTATTTGTATGGTGTTGATGGAACCAATAATATTTTTTCTTTAGCCTAAATATTCCTATTTTTCTTCACATGTTAGAAAACCTTAAGGAAACATTTTTGGGTGAATCCAGAATTTTCTTTTGGTTCCTGGGCTGCAGGAAGCCACCACCGCTAGGGCAGAAAGTCCTCCTGTGACCTCATTCCTATTGTAGGTGCAGGTGTGTGTGGGGGGGGACTGAAAGCTGAGAGTCGGTCCCCCCAGAATCCAGACTGCCCTTCAGGGAAAGGGCAGACACAGGGACTTAGGGGACAAAGACCTCCTGCCCAGTGAGCCTTCTCCGAGAGTTGCCTAGAGCTGCAAGACAGAGCACCGTTCACAGAACAGAAAGTGGTAGATTCCTTCCTTAGACCCTGGCACTGAGGAAAAAGAACCTGAGTAGTGCGGGGTCAAACATGGACGCTTGGCACCTGTTAACCTGCGGCAGCAGACAGCATCTTCATAGTGTGGTCTTTCTTCCCCTTCTCTGGAGGAAGAGCTGGATGTGGGAGTTCAATTATTTTCACTATGAGCTCTGTAAACCTGGACACCGAAACTCACCCCTGATGGCTGTCATATTTTAGTACATTATGAATGAGAAAGTGTGTCAAGACAACAAAACATTTGGACACATTTATTTTATATTACTGTATTTTACAGTAATCCAGGTGCCTTTAGAAACTACAGCTAGATTTGATGTTCAGCCACAGTCAGAATGTACGGTAAGCCTGGATCATGAGCATCTTGCCAGAGCTTTGTGGCTTTAGCCACAAGCCAAGAACCCATGTTTAGCCCTGAATATGGGATTTGTAACACTCTCCAAGTTACCTTTTTAAATGAAAGCCAGTTACAGTACTTAACTTCACAGACTCGTTCTGAACTTTCACGAAAGTGGCAGAATACCTTTAATATTTTCCATTCATGAGCCCTTACCTAACTTCCTTCCTTCCTTCCTTCTTTTTTATTTGTTTCCGTCTTTTTTTCTTTTTCTTTTCATTTGCCATCACTGGATCTTGAATTCAGGACCTTAGCGCTGTCCCTTAGCCTTTTCACTCAAGGCTGGAACTCTCCCACTCGGAGCCACAGCTCCACTCCCGCTTTTTGGTGGTGAGGTGGAGATAAAGAGACTCGTGACCTGACCCATGCAGTCAGCTGTTGTGGGTACGTGGGCCCCATACCACAGCAGAGTGTGCCCCATGGAAGACATGGTCCCTTCCTTACAGGGCTTAGCCAGAGACCTTGTCCTCTTGGCGGGTGGGCCTCAAATTTCAGGATCCATTAGAGTCCAGGTGGGGGAGGAATCACATTAAATATGCCCACCCAAAGAGGTAACGATGCAAGGGGTCCAGGCATGACCCTTGGAGCACATTGGACCCCAGGGGTGTGCGGTGTATGTTAACAATCGAAGAGAGATGGCAAGGTGACCCGCAAAATGACAGGGAAAGAACAGCTAATAGAAAATCAAGTCCAAGCATTATCTCAGCACCAGCAGGTTACAAATGGGGAATGCTTTGTTTTGTACGATTTTAAGAGCATGTGGAGTTCGTTACACTATTTTTATACAAGCACATAATGTAGTTTGATCCTCATATTTGCCCCCAATCTCTCCTTTTACCCCCCTCCCACCCCAATTAGTAAATACTTTTACTTTCAGATTTTTTGATACAAGGTCTTGTTATGTAGCCCAGGATAGCCTCTTGTCCTGTGTTGTGGGATTACAGGTGTGCGCTACCATCCCCTGCTAGGGTTTGATTCTTAAAGAGCTTTGAATTGAGTAACTGTGCAATCTCCTTAGTCTATTGAATTAAAATATTATTTAATGTATTTAGTCTCTGAGAGAAGCAGGGTCCTTAAGAGCTGAGGGATTTGCTCACGAGTAGAGTCCATGACTGAATGGGTGATCTACCACCACCAAAGGGTCCCAAGTAGACTGCAGGAAGTAATAGCTCATGTATGCATGTACAGGTATGCATAAATGTGTGCATATATACACGTCTGTGCATATATGTTCATATATGTGTGTTGAACACATATGGTATCATTTTGGCCACACTCAGACCTTTATATAACAAAACACTATTTGACTTTCAAAGGTGAGAAGTGGTCATATTTTCCACCTAAGCAAGATCCTGTGATTTCCCTGAGTTTATGAAACTAACCACTGAGCCTAGTCCCTCCCTCACATAGAGCTGTGGGATTTGTCACCAGTGAGTATGACAGTACCACTTCCTGAGAGGTGGGGAATTTTGATTAAAATTCATGATTGGATAGAATTGACTCTGGAAAGGTAAAAACAGTCCTCATCGATGTTGTGGTTGTTCTATTTTTCCCTGTACCAATACAAGTCAGGTGGGCTTTCCTGTGTGAATCTCACACTGAGCCATTCCATCTCCTGGATTGTAAGCACACTTCGTTGTTTACTTTTATTTTTTTGTGCCAGACCTAGGGCTTGAACTCAGGATGTGCGCACTGTCCCTGAGCTTTTCTGCTCAAGGCTAGCATTCTACCACTTGAGCCACAGCTCCACTTCCAGCTCTTTTAGTAGTTCATTGGAGATAAGAGTGTCATAGACTTTCCTGCCTGGGCTGGCTTCAAACTGTCATCCTCCTATCTCAGCCTCAGAAGGAGCTGGGATTATAGGCATGAGCTTTGGTGTCTGCATGTTGTGCAGAGTGGCTGTGCGGGCTGCAGGCAGGAGGGGTCGCGGGGCTTCACTCTGGGTGTGGTTGGGGAGAGGACTTGGGGGGAGGATGGGATCCTGGCGGCATCCTTTGTGATGATGAGAGGGAGACTTGGGCCGGTGGGGAGGAGACCGGGCGAGCGCATTGCTGGACAGCGCCAGGCCCCATCAGGGGCGCTGGCCATGCGGGCAGCACGGATGCTGAGCGTGGTCTTCTCTGGCTTGTGTGAACAGGAAAGTCGTGGAAGGCACTGACACTGTCACAGAAGCGGCCGTACGTGGACGAGGCCGAGCGGCTGCGCCTGCAGCACATGCAGGACTACCCCAACTACAAGTACCGGCCTCGCAGGAAGAAGCAGGCCAAACGCCTGTGCAAGCGCGTGGACGCCGGCTTCCTCCTGAGCTCCCTCGCCCGAGACCAGAACGTCCTGCCCGGCAAGAGCCCTGGCAGCGCGGGGCCCCTGGGGGAGAAGGAGGACCGGGGTGAGTACTCCCCGGGCGCCGCTCTGCCCGGCCTCAGGGGTTGCTACCAAGAGGGCCCGGCCGGAGGAGTCGGGGCCCCCGGCAGCGCGGACATCTACCCCTACGGGCTGCCCACGCCCCCTGAGATGTCGCCGCTGGATGCACTGGAGCCCGAGCAAACCTTCTTTTCCTCCCCTTGCCAGGAGGAGCTCGCCCACCCTCGCCGCATGCCCGCCCTGTCCGGGTCTCCCTACCCCCCGGAGTTCACCTCCAGCCCCCTCCCCTGCAGCCACCCCCTGGGCCCCCTGGCCATGATGGCCACCACGCCCGGATGCCCCCCATCTCCTGCCTACTACCCCCCTGCCCCCTACCACCCGCTCCACCCCAACCTCCAGGCCCCCCTGGGCCAGCTGTCCCCGCCCCCTGAGCACCCTGGCTTCGACGCCCTGGACCAGCTGAGCCAGGTAGAACTGCTGGGAGACATGGATCGAAATGAGTTTGACCAGTACTTGAACACTCCTGGCCACCCCGACCCGGCCATGGCGCAGGGGTCCCTCAGTGGGCACGCACCCCTCGCCCAGGGGACTCCCTCAGGCCCCACAGAGACCAGCCTCATCTCTGTCCTGGCCGACGCAACAGCCACATACTACAACAGCTACAGCGTGTCATAGAGACGGGGCGTGGGCAGGCCCCGCCGCTCCCCGCGCAAGGGCAGAGCAGAGACGGTGAAATGTCACCACTGCCCTCCTGCCCCTGGGTGGTGGTGGGGCCTTGGACCCGTGGCCCCAGAGCCTTCATGCTAAAGCTGGGATGGGCTCTGCTGATCAGCCCCTTCTGTTGCACCCTACACCGAGGAGCCTGGCCCGGCACTGAAACCTTTGTCTTTGATGCAGCCACACTGGATCTCTGGGTCTCTGGATGAGAGGAGCTGCCCTTGGGGGAGGGGTGGGGGTGGGAGGGCGAGATCAAGTCGAGTTTGTCAACCACATGTGCTCCCCAGGAAAGTGACAGCCAAGCCGCCTCTGCTCGGAGGTTCTGAGTGAGAGTCCTCCCAGGGGTGGCAAAGGAAGGTGTCTTGAATGAGCTGGGTGAGAATTTCATCTCACCGGCCGGCAGCCTGCTGAGAATTCCACGTGCACGGCTTTGTGCTCTCTGCATTTCCTTCCACCGTGAATCTAGATGTCTAAAAAGAGTCCTCCAAAACAAAAAATAAAACCTACTTATCCCGACCTAGGGAATTTACCGGTAGGGTTAACTTCATCGATGAAAGTGAGTTTTTTTTTTAAATACATCTTTGGTTTTCTTATTTTTAATCATCCTTAAGTAGTTGTACAAAGGGGTTCCAAATGTCAGTTTGTGAATCCAAACATGTATCTTTAGATATATTCTTATTCCCCACACTTCAAGAGAATTTATGGCCTGAGAGACACACACACTCACACATCTGGCCAGCCCAACTCGGATCTATAGTCTCCTCATCCTGGCCCAGCCCCCAGCGACCCAGAGGAGCCAGGAGCCTGAAAGGACTCTGCCCAGAGCAACACCACTTTCTTCTCATCTAATTCTGTCCCTTTTTTTGAGCAAAACTACAGCATGTGTCCCCCTGTGTGGATGCAGGAAGAACTTCCTTCCCGGCTGGCTGGGCTCCTGACTACTGAAGTTCCTCTCTTTCATTTTCCTTGTTTTTCAAATCTGCCCTTGAATTTGGTTCTCAATTCAGAGGCCCCAAGCATGATTCTTCTGGCTGGGAGGGAAATCTATTTTCCTCTGGAGCCAGCAGCTCCTTCAGGCACTACTTGGCTGAGACATTGGAACAATTTCCCCGCTGTACAGTCCACAGGCTGCCGCCCGAACAGAAATGCACTGTGACTCAGAAGAAAAGATCCTCTGCCCCTCTACCCTCCCTCAAGCTTGTATGAAATGTGTGTTTTATATATTCTCCTAGTATTTTCACCTTACGTTTTGTATTCTTGACGGATCTTTCTTTCCTTCCACCAAGTCTTGTAAACGCGCTTATGAGGTATGCCTAATCTTTATGTTATTACTGTGTATGCTATTTGGTAATAAATAGTAAGTGGTTGATGATATGACTGGCTGGTGTCCAGTTCAGAACATGTATTAATAATCTTGTAAGGCAGTATCACAGACACTAAGCTATAAACTGGTCCATTTTTCAGAACTGTATATGCTTGGAACAGTTGTGGATATTGATTTGTCAAAAATATTTAATTTAAATAAAATTTTTTTTTGTACTGTGACCATTCATTCCATCATCTGAGGGTGTTGCAAAACAAAAACATTTTCAAGCTAGACACGGATGTTATTCCCATGGTTACCCGTAGAATGTAGTCTTCAAAGTGTTTCTTACAGAGATGTGTTTGTTTTGGAAAAGTTCTTGGTTTGTGAGTTATGCCAGAGAGATAAACCTCAGTTTTGCACATTGGATTCAGTATCATTATTAATGTTGAAAAAAAAAAAAGCAACCACGAAGAGTGGTGTTCTGGAAACATCTTTACACTTCTGAAGTACCAGGAGCCTGCCACAGGCTGGCTCGCCCTCGTCTCTGTGCCTGATGGCTCCCATAGCAAAGCGTCCTGGCTCTGAGAAGGTGGGAGGCTCACTGTGGAGAAGGCACAGCGCATGGCGTGTTCTCCGGAGCCTGGGACATCTGAGAGGCTCGGATGATGCTCCCAGCCAAAGAGGGTTGGAACAACCTACGATTACTCAGTCCCACGCAGGCCACCTCTGTCTGGCCCCTCTCCACAGTGAAGCAGTTGTGACTTGTTTGAGAGCGCCCAATGGGCCTCTGTTCATCCTTCCATTTTATCCTAAGCTCCAGACAGGACTTTATAGGACTGTGTAAGTGCAGGGAGCATCACAGGAAGTTTTATGGGCCGTTTCTCATCCACCGCCACCACAGGAGGCGCCCGTCATCCTCCCACCCAGCCCACTGCACAGCCGGGGACCCCAGGCTGGGAGGGGAGCTGGCTCAGGGTGGCCGTGTGCACGGGGAAGCTGGGTTCTGGCACCCATCAGCCGCGTTTGTTGGCAGTGTTTGAACAGTCCCACAGCTGGAGGCATGGGGCTTTCCCCCCTCCCAGCATTTTACCATGGCATGAAATCCACTGTTCCATTGATGCCAGGCTCAGCCAGGGAGGAGGGAGAGCTGGAAGATGGTAGTGTGGGTTTGGAGGAGGTGAAGGTCTTGCTGCTTGGAGCCTCCACTGCAGCAGGCCGAGGGGGCAGAGCGGGGGGGGGGGGGGGCGCTGCCCCGAATGCAGGACTGGAAGGGTCTGTCCAGGTTGTGTCCCTTGACATTGCCAAGTGGGTGTGTCTCATTCCAGGACACGCGGGCGGAGGGGGCGGGGCTGTGGGGGTAGGACAGCCTTGTCTCTGCCTGAAGGAGGGCAGAAGGCAGGCAGGAGGGTGCTCAGTCCAACAGCCTGGCTCTCTCAGGATGCCCACTGCTTGCAGGCCCAGGGCACTGTCCCACGGCAGTGCGCAGTCCCATTTCCCGCCAGAGAGATGTTCCCACTTCACTCAGCTGCCGATCCCTCCCCCTCGGCAGGCAGCCTGCCAGCCCTGCGCCTCAGGGCAGGTCCCCTCACCTGGGGCTGACAAACTGCCTGCTCTGGCCCGCACCTGTGCATGGTTTGGAGCAGCCTGATCCTATGTCCCTGTTTTACAAACTGTGTCCTTTCAGAGTGCCCCTTCCCAATAGTACAACCCTGGGCTGCCACACTCCCTGTCCCTGCCCCCGTGGCTGACCTTCTTCATTCCAGAAGCTTCTCATACTCCCTCCCCCAGTGCATCTTACTACAAGGAAGCCTACTGGCTTCTGAAAACACTCCGTATTTCCCCACGGAGACCCTCACGACTCTCGACCTTCCTTCTTCCCTTCTTTCTCCATCCATTGTCTCACCTCTCCACACATCTATCTATCCAACTTTCTTGGTTGGTCTGTCATCTATTTATCATCTTATAAATCTCAATGAAGACATTCTTTGAAGAATGTTTAGAAAAAATAACATCACAAAGAAAATAATGTCAGTGCATTGGTCACAATTTGGAGACATTTTGCTGATTCTTTGACGTGTATCCGTGCTAGACGTACATTTACATCTGTCTTAGGACAACAGACATTTTATCCATTAATATTAAAGAAAAATCTCCTGTGTCACTGAACTTTAATTTGTTTCTACAAAGGCTATTATCCCTCTACTTTATGGGAAAAATTCTGAAAAAGAGAAATGACCCAGTTGACACGATGTCAACACAGCTATCTGTGTCGCGTTCCCGCGTGGCTCGTGCGGCTGTGCTCACCGTGGTCATTCACACTCATGGCTCCGTCTGTTCAAACTCCTGAGACAGAAGTGTGCCCATTGATGATATCTTCCTATTTCTCATTTCCATGATTGCACACGCCGTCAGTGAATAGCACAGCTTATTTTACTTGGCTGCCCTCTTGTTAATTGGTACTGGAATTCCTCCTCTTCTTGCGTTATGAACACCTCTGCAGTGAATGCGTGCTGCTCGGGGTCCCCCGTGGGATCTGAGGGCAGCCCTGGGCTGCCACAGAGGAACACGCTGTGGCTTCCTGTCACTCTTCACTCTTCTAGGGGGCCTCCATGGGGAGTTGAGGCTTGAAGGACCTCCAGTCGATTCCCAGATGGAATGAATTCTGTCTTAATGGGAAGAGGATTCTGCACCTGACTGACATCTCAGAGGGTCTGGAGCCTCGTCCCCCAGGGGCTGTGTCTCTGTGCTCCCTGCGGCTTCCCTGCGCAACGCCACGGTGTTCCTCTCCCCTGAACCTCCCAGTGGAAGACACCTCTGTCCTGGCCTCTGGCCCGTCAGGCTCTAGCTGCCTGAGACGCGTGGAAGACGCTCTTTTCCCATCTGAGCATAGGCTCAGCAGGTAGGGTAGGGTGTGGCCTGGCTAGTGGGCACTGTGTAGAGCTCTAGCCACAGGAGGTAGTCTAGAAGGAGCAGCAGGGGCAGGGCTGGCCTTCCCTGGCTGGCTTGGGTTGGGGCCTGGGGAAATCCCACACCTGTCCTCTGCTGCAAGAGGCAATGCGTACACTTGGAGTCATTTCAGAATCCGCCGAGCTTCGTGCACCACAGAAGAGACGTGGCCTGCCCGTCTGTTTCTGATTTCTCCAGGTGATTTCAGTTTCCTTCAGGATTGGCGCCTCATACTAGCTTGAGAACTCAGAAGGATGTGGTTGGGGACGGGATGTGTGGAGAAAACGAAGGGGAGTGAGCCTGACCCGCATAGCTGAGGAGGGGGGTGCTATGGAGGCCTCCAGGAGAGTCCTTGCCGGTTACTGAGCCGGGATTAAAAGGGACCGTGTACAGCTGGTTGTGGTGTCTCATACGGATAATCCTAGCTACTTAGGAGGCAGAAGTGTAAGGATCACAGCTGCAGGCCAGTTTGGGCAAAAGGTTCTTGAGATCATCTCAAGAACCTGGCACCGTTGCACACACCTGTTATTCCAGTTAGGCAGAAAACATAAATAGGAGGATTGTGGTTCAGAGAGGCCCAGGCATGAATGCAAGACCCTATCCAAAAAAGAAGTAAAGCAAAAATCCTCCCTGCCTAGTGAGGTCTTGAGTTCAAATCCCAGTAATGAGAGAAAAGGGGGCACGGGGTGGGGGGGGATGCCTTCTGGGTCTTTCTCTGTCTGGGCAGCTCTCCTTCCTTTGTGGAGAGCTCTTTGACATCCTTGGCAGCTGCATTTTTACTCCATTTGAGAACCCTCT